CTTTAGTTACTTGTTTTTACTTAAATTCATCCAAAACCAAATCCCCTTTTACTTTAGAGTGTCTAATTAGTTAGAATATGTCCTAGTTGTGTTTTTAAGTGTTTTGAGTTAAGTTAAAACCAATTTTCGTCCAAAGTCATTCTTAGTGTCTAGTTTGAATCTAATTAGTTGTTTTGAGTTCTTTGAGTCTAGTTTAGTGTTTTTAACTTTGTTTATATGTTTTTAAGTCAGTTTAGAGGTTATTAGCAAGCCCTCCTAATCCCCGGTCCAGAACGATCCCTACTTACATTCTTTACTACAATTGATACAAGAGGGTTTAATTTGTGTGTTAAGTTAATTTTCGCATCAAGGCCCAACCTACGCTCGGCTCGAAGCCAATATAATCATCATTGCCAAACAGGCACATAGTGACCACTAGATACGCACAAAACCATTGAACATATATATATATATATATATATATTATATATATATATATATCAAAGTCAACTTTATAGTATAAAGTCATCCATCATCTATACTATAAAGAGGTGCTCAAAAACATGTTTTAAATATTATATCATCATCCATCAGATATCCTATAAAGAACATGGGTTATAGGAAAAATAGTAATAATTCAAAGTAACCTCAGTAAGCATGTTAATCAATTTCTCATAAAACATTCACAAACGTATTCAATAAATCATGTTTTTCATGTATGCATTTCTATTATTAAAACATGCATTTTAGAAGAGGTCCACTCATCGTACACCGTTGGTGCAAAGCCGTACCAGAAAGGAATAACGGAATCGCCGCTATTAATTGCACCTAAGCACATAAATAGTACAATTAACAAAACTATACTCAAACAATTTAATGTGGGAAAACAGACGTCAAAAACAGATTCAGGGTGTCAAATTACCATAAGTAGGGTCTCAATTATATTTCTGAAAAGTCAACAAAAGTCAACAGGGGAAGAATATTCCAAGAATATTCTCTGACGGAATATTCCTTAATAGACGGAATATTCCATTTGGTCAAAGGGTAATTGGGTTGGGTTAGATAAATAGGTTAGGCTTATAGGGTTTTAAGGGGGTTGCAGGTTGGGCCTAAAAGACTAAGGGTGTGTTTGTTTGGCATCACTAGCCTTCACTAAGCTGGACTAGACTATTTAGCAGTGCAATCCCGTGTTTGTTGCAGTCCAGGATTACGTTTAATGAGCTTAGAGGGGACTCGCAAGGACTAACACCTTCTCTAAATGTTCTTGGCGAGGCTTCCCGTATATGGGCGGACTGCTAAGACCATCTTAGACAAAGAGTTGATCGTGTCTTGAAGACCTCGCCGACTGGTGCGCCCTCGTCCTCTTCCTCGTCTGGGTTTGGATCGCTGAGACCTGAATTCAAAGCAGAAGGGGTTACGATTTGGTCCAATTAGGACTTAGGGTTTATCCTTATTGGAATTGAATTGGGGGAATTCGTCCGTTTCCAAAAGAAAAATCCAGACTTTGCATTGTGATTGGCTTCAAGCGATGAGTTCTCACATGCGTTCGAATGTGATGAGAAGAGGCAAAGCTCCTCCGCCTTCAATCGGAATCAGAGCGTTATCGTCGTGAATACAGGAGACTCAGTTGCGATTTCGATTTTGATTTCAATTGAATTTCTTGATTGTGTTGCGTTTTGTGATTTGGAAGCTTTATTATTGAAATGGAAGGAGAAAGTTGTGGAATTTGGACGAAAAAAGAGAGAGGGAAGAGAGATTCTTAGTCCAGAGTTGTGTAATTTGGACAGAAAAAAGGCTGAAGGAAGAGAGAGGTTTCTTAGTCCAGAGAAAGTGTTCTAGAACAAGAAAAAAAACAATATAAAAAAACAGAATTAATTATTATTATTTTCATTATCCTGCTTTTTAGTTTGACACTGCATCAAATACTTCACATAGATAGTCCAACTTAGTCTAGTCTAAGTTAGTCCAACTTAGTCCTTGAAGCTAGTTCAATCCGAGATAGTCTGATGCAACAAACGCACCCTAAAGGGTTTAGGTTTAAGGTCTTCACAAGTAAGGCCCAAGGCCATTAATTTAACAAACCAAAAATAAAAACAAAAGAAAATAAGGGTTGGGTTGGGCTGCCCAAGGTTTTGGGCTTGGCAGGAATGGCCCGAAGGGCCTGGGTTTGGTGGGTCGTCGAACCTCACAAATAAGAAGGCCGGATTTTCGGTAGGAAAGTTCCTTAACTTTAAACGTTCATAACATTGTCAATAGTCAACGAAATCAAATGATTCAAAAATAAAAATTGTAGTTCTCAAAGAGACAAAGAGAATGGTACCTCGTATGACATCTAACTCGTGGTGGTTTGGCCAAAAAAGGCCTCGAAACCCACAGAGGTTGCAGGAAACTAGGTAAGATTCAAATGAGTATAACTTCTTCAATACTCAATGAAATTGGGTGAAATAAAAAGGAAAGTTGTAGTACTCAGCGAGATGAAGAGATTGATACCTTGCAAACCAGCTAACTTGCCGTGGTTTGGACAAAAATTGGCTTGAAAGCATTCGGACTCGCCGGTAAAACTGGGAAAATAAACCTCCGAGTTGTTTCTCACTACCAACCTTCACCAAAGCACCTAAAATGAGTCCTAACTAGAGTTTGATCAATCTAAGAGAAAGATTAGAGAGAGTCCCGAAGCTTACCAAGGTCGAGGGTTCACAGTTGTGGTTCACCGAGCTTACGGGTTCGAAGATTGGTATGTGTTCCTTCCTCCTTTGAGATGGCGTCTAGGTGTAACCATGTGAGTATGTATGTGTGGGTATGTGTGTGTGTGTGTTGTTTTCAAAAAGGAGGGGGACATCGTAGAGAAGGGAGAGAGTTGCAGAGAGTTTTGGGGGAGAGAAAGAAGAGAGAAAAGTGAGGGAAAGAGATGAGTCCACGAGGAAGAGGGGAACCGGGGACACAAAGCAGGGGGTGGGCCCCTTGGGCTCACCAATTAAGAACCAAAAACTATTTAAAAAGAAAAAGATCCCAAACAATTTTTAAAAATGGGGGTGGGGTTTTACAAGAGGTCTACCAAGCAAACGTTAGTTATGACTTCTTCAAACAATGCTGAGATTCTCGCCCTGCATGAAGCATCGTGTGAGTGCTTTTCGTTGAGAGCAATCATGGAACATATTCGAAGCACTAGTGGTCTTACTTTCGTCATTAACATTCCTAAGATGATCTTTAACGACAATGCAGCATGTATCGAGCAGTTAAAGAAGGGATACATCAAGGGAGACACCACCAAGCACATAACGTCGAAATTCTTCTACTCCCATCAGTAGCAACATCATCAGATCATTAAAGTCAAGCAAATCCGTTCCTAGGACAACCTGGCCGATCTCTTCACCAAGTCATTGCCCAAGTCTACTTTTCAGAAGCTCGTCCAAGAAATCAGTATGAGTAAATTATCTTAGTTGAATCACTTGTAGTTCTTTTATTTAGAAATTATGTCTAACTCGGGGAGAGTATCTAGAAGCATACTCACTTGATCTTAATGTACTCTTTTTCCTACGATTAGGAGCATTTTTCCCACTGGGTTTTTGCTACCTAATGAGGTTTTAATGACGCACCCATCCTGGGATGATCATACTCCATTGAGTTCACCACTTTCGTCCTGTTTGACATTTGTTTTAGACATTATACATACTTCTCACTTTTCTCCTTAGTCTATAGGGTTTTCTCCCATCTCGGGTTTTATTATAGCGAGGTTTTGTGAGTTTTACTACCAATGCATACTTTCTTAAATTTGAGACTCGCGTTCACCCGTTGTGCTGCCGACTTCATCAACTATTCTACTTTATCTGCTGAAGATCTGATACGCTGGTTTGTTGAGTATTTACACACTCAATGGGGAGTGTTGCAGTCATATTTAGAATAGGAATGTGATTGTGTAAATCCTAATAAATCTAGAAGTATCTCTAGTATTCTTTTTAGGAGTTGATTACTTATTAAGAGTTGTAATCCTAATAGGGTAAGGTTTTTCCATATCCTTTTACTATAAATAATGGCACAATGAGGTGATACAACAGACACCTCACAATTAAATCTCTCATCTCTCCCTCTTGCTACCGCTGGCCCTCTCTCTCTATATCCCTTAGTATAGTTCAGTTTAATAGGCCTACAACACCTAATAGTATATTAAAGTAGTTAAAGAACTTGGTTTATAATTATGATGTGGCCGTGGTTACTAATTATGGGGAATGTTATGCTTAGATTGGTTACCGTAAAGGGAATGCATTCGTAGAAAGCACTTTTTGTTAATAAGCATTGTGTATGTTACTAGTGTTTTTGTTATAAACTTAAAGAATGTAGTTAACTTTTTCAACAAAAAAAAAAAGACTAGTAAATTTTTTATTAAAAATTCATGTACTAGTGGAAAATTACTTGAAAGTGCATTTAAAAGGGTCATCTAACATGCGTTTGTCTATAAAACGGTTTTATGACTTGAAAACATTTATGTTCTGCTAAACGTAGTTAGAGAGCGTTTGGCAAGAGATCTTTGGACCAATATGCATAAAAAGAAACATTTACGAATACCTACTACGGAATAGAACTAGCAATGGTTAAACAAATAATAAATCGTGTGTCATAAACCACAATTTAGTACACCTTAACTGTCTGCCTAATTAAAATCCGTAGCCAGAATCTAAATGTTCACATCTTCCTAGACTTTTTGTATGAATCTTCCATGTATACAAAAGCAAGAGTTGCCCTCTTTTAACAAGAACTAGGACTAATTTTGTAGAGATCTGAAGACGTAGTGGTATCAGAAAAACCAATCCGTGTTGCATCTTGAGCCGGAAAAACCAACTTTGAATTTTCAACCTTTCGTCCCTGCTGTAATTCCTTAGAACTTAAATCATGTCAAGTGGAAAATTGACAGCTTGATCCTGACAATCATATACGTTGAGATTGGACTGAAATTGTATCACTTAAAATTACTGTATTTTTTCTTTCTCCACTTGCTTTGTTACATAAAGCTTCTACTTCGCGAATGTAGCAAACCATTTAGAGTTAGCTCAACTGATTAAGAGCCTTTATTCTTACGTCCTGTAAACGAAAGTACGAAGCTAAAGCATTGATATTGGAGAGTGAACGTACTACTTATCATTACACGAGAATTTGCATAGTTGAGCGCAGAACAAGGTTTACGTTAAGGGTTGTGATTTTCACACATCCTTAACTACTTTTCCCACACCCTTCCTATTTTTTAATAGTTAATTGGTATCCTACTATTTAATCTTTCATATATACCCTTCCTACTTTTTTATGGTAATTAATGAAAGATTAAATAGGGAGGAGTATATATGGAAGATTAAATAGTAGAATACCAATTAAGTACTAAAAAAATAGGAAAGGTGTGGGAAAAGTAGTTAAGGGTGTGTGAAAATCACAACCCTTACGTTAATTACTAAGTAGATGTACTACTACGTTACCCAAAAAAAAAAAAAAAAAAAAAAAAAGTAGGTGTACTACTACTAGGACCAATTTTATAGAGATCTGAGGACGTAGTAGCAGAATTAACACATGTTGCATCTGATGAACCAACAAGGTTCTGAGTTCCACTTGTGCTCCCCTGTGCAGTTGGATCAAACGGGTTTCTCAAGGCTGATAACTTCAGTTCATGAACAAGTGTCCGTCCTTCAAGCATGCTCACTACTGCAGACATGGTCGGCCTGAGAGCTGATGCTGGATTGATGCATAAGAGAGCTACCTTGACCATTGTAATCGCCTCTTCCACTTCAAAATGGGACCCCAAGCTTGGATCCACTAGCTCTATTAAGTTCCCCTTTTGTTGTAAAACAAGAGCCTGAAATAAGCAGATAAAAAAGATTAGCTGAGATTAGCTAGTCAACGTTGACATGTACTCAAGCACTTAGAATGAAGATCTTACCCAATCCACAAGGCATACTAAGTTCTCATTTGGTATATATTTCATGTTGCTCTTTCCAGCAACAATTTCCAATGCAACTACACCAAAACTGTAAACATCTGCTTTATTTGTTAAATAACCCCATAGTGCATATTCTGGAGCCATGTATCCTCTGCACAACAAATTGAGTTTCAAGGAGTTAGGCATGACATTAGTTCCAGGGGACATTTCAATAAACAAGCATGTAGAATATAGTAGCAGCACGCTTACATGGTTCCAGCAATTCTGGTGCTAATGTGAGTGTACTCCTCGTCGTTAAGCTTGGCCAAACCGAAGTCAGAGATCTTTGCGTTGAGGTCTTGGTCTAGCAATATATTTGTAGCTTTAATGTCTCTATGTACAACCTTCAGTGTCGACTCCTCATGCAGAAAAGCCAGACCTCTTGCTATACCTATGCATATTTTCTGCCTTGTAGACCAGTCCAGCTTTAATGGACCTGAAACAAACATGAATTTCCAGGTCCCTTTAATTCACCATTCCTGTGTAATTTTGTTACTAAACTTGATAATTAAGCTTACCAAACAAAGTACGTGCAAGGCTATTATTTTCCATGTATTCATATACCAACAGTAATTGGTTTGATTCAATACACCATCCATACAATCTGACAAGATTTGGATGATGCAAAGCAGATATCATGCCTATTTCATTCAAAAATTCCTGGTTTCCTTGCTTTGATTTTGATGATAGTTTCTTAACCGCAATTATAGTACCATCCAACAATATACCCTGCATTTTACGTAAAAGCCAAATAGTTAATTCAGGACACACAAAAATAGGGGAAAAGACGTAGGTTGGATTAAACGGTACCTTGTAGACAGGCCCAAAACCGCCTTTCCCGATTTCGTTTTCAGGATCAAAGTTGTTAGTGGCAGCTTTAATTTGCCTGAAGGTGAAAAAACCAGTTCGCAGATTCAGTCCTCTTCGAGCTGTCCAAAGAACAAAGTCAGAAAATTGGTAATGTCTTGTGCATTTATGATATTTCTTTTGAACTTAGAGCCTGAGAGTGTATTTCCTAGCAACATGGAATTTGACCAAGTGATGCAACGGATAATACAGGAAAAAGGACACAAACTTTAGAACACAATAAACCCTAAATTCTTGTTGATTCGCACAAATGAGAAAAGCAAGAACAAAGAAAATTGTTAATTCCTATGGAATACCCAAGTTGATAGACCAGAAGAGAATAAACTCTTTACTTTTACTTTAACATTCAAAAACTGCCCAGCCATCTAGGCTTACAAGAAAATATAAGGTGAAAAGGCTGAACCCCAATAGTCCCAACACATTGAGCCTAGCCAGGAATTTATTATGACCCTAGGTAATAAAGCCAAACCCAAAATTACTTCCAATTCGATGCATCAATACTTATTTAGATATAAATGCATAGATGAATGCCTCCTATCCAAGGTACTACATCAAACTTTCACAGTAGCTTAATTAGTAGTACCTTCTTCACTCAAACGTAAGACTATGCCCTCAATTGCTTCTGATCCCTGATAAATAAGATTAAACAAATAGTTAATTTCGTAGTCAAGTCTCTTATCATGTTAAATAGTATTATAGTGTCCTATCCGAGCTTTGGTATTTTCATTTTCAAGCAACTTCTTACCGTATTCTTTGCAAGCACATGCAAGATATCTTTAGGAAGCCACAACCGACTATGACCACCTGGCTCATCGTAAGACTCTCGTCGAACAATCTCCCATGCCATTTCTTGTATCAAATCATGCACATGCACGTAAGAGTCTGAAATACTTATGAGAGATTTCTCAATAAGAACATCTACCACCATGCGAGCGCCACCAGCAAAGCTAGAGTTTTCTAGTCTTTCAATTATTCGCTCCTTTCCACAAAAATCATGGGAACATGCAATGTCAAGGAAGATTCTCTTCTCAAACTCATCAAGTGTATCATAACTTATTTTCAATGCTTCAAAAGTTGTCCTAAAAGGAGCTTGCTTCAGTTTATCTAGTGCACTCTTCCATTCATCTCGACCTCTTTTGTACAATAAAGACCCTAAAGTTTTAAGAGCTAATGGAAGACCACTTGCATAACTGATGAAACATTTAGACAGTTCTAAAAAATCTTCTTCCAACTCATCATCTTTAAAGGCTTTCCAACTAAAGAGAGAAAGAGCTTCATCTTGGGTTAATGGCTTAACCTCATATACCATCTCTATACCATGTTCAACTAACAAACGTTCATCTCTAGTTGTAACAACGACTCGACTCCCGAAACCAAACCACTCCTTTTGTTTGACCAACTTTTCCAGTTGGTCTAATTGATCCACATCGTCGAGTATGAGAAGAACCTTTTTATTACATAAACACCTACTTATCATAGTGATTCCGCGATAAGTATTCCAAATTTGCATGTTATTTTCCCCTAAGATTTCAGAAAGAAGCTGCTTTTGTAGATGAGCTATACCATCCTTAGAGCACACCTCTCTAACATTAGCAAGAAAGCTGCTACCTTCAAAATCATGAGAAATTCTCTCGTAAACTAATCTAGCTAGGGTTGTCTTACCCACTCCACCCATCCCCCATATCCCTATAAAGCGAACATCGTTTGCATCTGTATCTAAAAGCAAATCTATTTCCTCCAGTTTAGAATCAGTTCCGACAAACCTCTCTGAGGAATCTAACATTGAAAACGTACGGTGCACTTTCTCCCATAGTGTATTGACGATTCCTTGGATAAGCTCTGTATCATACCTACAAGAAGAACAAACGACGTAAATAAAAAATCATCACACCGTAAAATAAACGTCAGTTGCTGAATCCCACGCTTACCTATAATCCTTTGAATTCCACCCAGCGAAATTAGCCACCCTTTTTAACGACTTTCTCCACTCAATTACCTCCTCCATTTGTTCCGGATAATTTACTTCATGTTCCGCAAAGGCTTCCCCAAAACTCCCTCGTTGATGGCGTACATCAGAAGGATCCACGTCATAAAAAATGGGGAAAATTCTCTCTTTCTCTTCCATGCAACGAACAATATGAGTAACTTCTTGCAAACACCAACTTGAAGAAGCAAAGTTTGTCGAAAAAACTATGATTGCAGACCTTGATTGGTCAATTGCCCTCAGGAGCTCTGGATTGATATCTGTCCCTCTTTCAAGTTCTGGTTCGTCCCTGAAAGTCTTGATTCCTCGCGCCTCCAACTGTTTGTATAAATGATTTGTAAAACCCCTGCGGGTGTCTTCACCTCTGAAACTCAGAAACACATGGTATTTCCATGGAAAAACTGCAGGAGCAGAAGCCCGGGCCATTTGGCTGCTCACCGCAAATCGGAAGTGTTCCAAGCAATCCGCTCTACCCACAGAAGCTAGGTCGCACCGACACTCCAAAACTCCGAAGTGTCGACTTCGACACGCCGACAATACGCCCCCGACACGGCTTGGACACTGTCAAGAGACTCGCCAAGACACCGGTCAACGGGTCGGACACGCATCCGATACGCCGACGACACGGGTTGAATTATTTTGAGGCAGTTTTTGAAATATTGAAATCTTTGGGGCAATTTGGAATTACAAAAACTGAAGTCTAAAACTTCAGTCTCTATCTAATCTAATCTTCGCCTCCCTCCTCTTCTCCCTCACCTTCGAAGCGGTGGATGATCTCAAACAGTAGGCTGGTGGAGCGGGGAAGGAAAGGAAGAGAGAGGTCGAGGAGAGAGAGAGAGAGAGACCAATGTGAAGGATAGAGAAGAAAGAGGACGACGGAGAAGAGGGGAAAGGAGAGAGGGGTCTGTGGAAAGCTGTGGTTGTGGTGGGCCTTGAGTCCATGACAAATTAATTAAACAATTGTTTTCTTTGTTGTAAGTGGTCATGGGCGGCGGCGGTGCGGGTTCTCATAACAAGTTGATGCAGACAGCGCAGCTCTCGAATTCTAGTTCGATCTGCCACCATGGTTGTCTGAATAGGTACGCCATGGCCTAAGTTTAATTAAACAATTGCTTTCTTTGTTGTAAATAACACTAGATAGTACTGATTAAATTAATCGAGTGATTGATGTAATATCAGATTAATGATTGTATTATTTAGGGGTATGATATCCACACATTCATTTTTACTCTCCCATACCTTTTTGGTTTTTGGTCATCGGATCGGATGAATTGAAGAAGATCAACGGACAGAAATTAACAAGAGGTGTGTGAGAAGTAAAAAATGGTGTGTGGATAGTACATCCCATTATTTATATTGTGTTTGGCAACCGGATTCAAAAAAAGAAAAAAAAAATGTTTTTGACAGGAAGCAAATCCTATCTTCAAGATAGGAGGCAAATGAAAAGCCGCCAAATTAGATTAGAACCTGATTTGAAAAAAAAGGTAAATTAAGGATTTTTTTTTTTGGCAGCGTTTGTCCCCCAGTGGTCTGCAATGGTTCAATGCAATCGGGTCTTGTGCTATGTGGGGGCGACGCAATGGATTTTATGCTTTTTGGGTTTGGGTTCGTGCAGTGGTTCAAGGCGGCAACAGTTCGCAACCATGGGATCTCATTTCAAGATACAACAACAATGGCAGACTCGAGTGCAAGATGGTGATGCGAGCAGTTACAGAGAAGCAGTGGGTCATGGGCGGCGACGGTACAGGTTCTCATAACGAGTTGATTCAGACAACGCAGCTCTCCAATTCTAGTTCGATCTGCCATCATGGATGTCTGAATAGGGACGCCATGGCCTGGGTTTAATTTGCCACCTCTAATTTTCTGTTTATATATGGTTGATGTTGATTGGAGGTGGGGAGGGAGGGAGAGATGGAATATTTGGATGAGCATGTTGCGATGCAAGTAGAGAGGTTGAGAGCACGAGCATGATTTGCCTGACTAATTATACGGAGGTTCCAGGGAGGATAAGTTAGCAGGCGTGAGGGGTATTAAAATGGTGAGACCGGTTTAATTTATCCGGTGCTTAATTAGTACAGATGAGCACCAAACCTTCTACCGTATTATTAATACTATCCGATCCTTTATATGGCATGTCAAACAAGGCCTATAGTTTAAGTGTAATTGTATAAATCTTAGGTTAGATTTTATTCTAGTTATCATTTCCTATTGCATCTTGTATTCCTTGAGGAAGAAGAAATATCTCTTCTCCTCTTTTACTATAAATAAAGGCATAATGTAGGAGGGATAACAACACGCACATATTCCCCTACATTTCTACAAAGACATCTCTCTCCCTTCTCCTTGCCGCCGGCCACCCTAAATATTTTTAGATAAAATAGACCACAACATGTTATCATCACGCTCCTACCGCTGCGCTTAGGAATCTGACGTTGAAGAATTTTTCTGCATCAAATCAGTTCATCCATATCATCACGCAATCAGGTTTTTTCAAAACAACGGCTTTTAACTCGGTATTTTTGCAGCCCTGATAGCATGAACATTCACCATGATGCATGACCCAACTTTACGTTTTACGAATTTTAGATTCTACATAAATTGTGTATGCCTCATAATCATAATTGTTGAATTATGTGAATTTGATGTTTGCTATGAATTGCATATGCATCAATAAAATTGTATATGAATTGCATCAAATTGAATTCAATTAACATATTATTATTTTGAATATGCATATAATTGAGTTATATTTGAATTAAAATAAAATGAAATTGGGAATCATGGCCTGGGACCCATGACCTCGAGCACTCACCCAAGCCTGCAGCTTGCGACTAAACTGTGCCAAAGCCGAGAGATCTAGGTTGAAACCCAGAACACCCCGACGCCAACCACGACGTCCCTTGCCATCGCAGGATGGCCTGCATGCCACCCTCACACATCGGGTCACCATGTTTGACTGCCTGAAGCTTGTCAAAAAACCCGATTCGAAATTCTAGGGTTTCACAACGAATATTGAGATTTTTTTTTTCAAATCTCCATTCTTATTTTGAGGTTTTTAACGACCCACAGACTCGTACTAAGCATCCTTGTCCCAACGCCGACCGCTTGACGTGGCACCGTCGACCAAAACCCCGCGTTCTTCCCCGGCTGTACACATCCAGCACGACTGGGTTTGTGACCCACGTCCTTTTTTTTTGGGTTTGAACCCTCCATGGCCTGTTTTTCTTTTGGGCTCCCTGCAGTGACCTAAAAACCCTTTTAGGCCCTTCCTGCAGCGGCCCATATGTTTTTTTATCTGGGCTTACCTGCAGCAACCCACCCCCACTATCCCGTCCTCCCCGTAAGCCTGCAGCCTACAACCGAGTCCAAATCCAGCCCATTCTTGGGCCTGGAATGCACGGCACAAAATTTTTTTAGCCACCCGTGGCTTTATTTATTTTTTTTTTTGGGCCCCAAATTTTATTCGCCTAATTATTTTAGGCCCAATGGGTTTTATATTTTTTTCACCCACATTTTAATTTGGCCCGAAGTCCAAATAAATTAATTCATTTATATTTGTACACCTAAAAGTTATATTTTTGCATATTCTTGTTGCATATTTGCTTAGATATATATATATATATATATATATATATATATATATATATATATATATATATATATATATTTGTGTTTGCCTGCAGGAATACATGAACCTGAAGTTCATAATTATTTTTGAAACCCGAAGTTTCTTATAAATATGCCTTGTTTGAAAACCTGAAGTTTTCACTTTAAAACATCACCCATGAAAACCTGAAGATTTTTTTCATGCAAAAATTAAACCAATACATGTCTATTAGAACCTATATGTTTTACTCCTATGTGAATGGATTGATTTTTTTTTCTCCATTACACTAACCACATCTTGTCCATCTATTTTGTGATAGGAACATGTCGAATTTGAACAAACTCGACTTCACCGCTTTGGAGTTCTCTGGAAGAAACTACCTCAAGTGGGTTTAAGATGTGAAGTTCCACCTCACTGCAAAGAACTTGCGTCCTGCCATTGAAGAAGCAACAGATGAACATGTTGGCGAAGCTGAAAAGGCCACTGTTATGATCTTCATTCGAAGACATATCCATGACGCTCTACAAACTGAGTATCTTGTTGAGGAAGATCCACGTGCATTATGGGTTGCTTTGGCTGATCCTTTTGATCACCAAAATGACATATTCTTGCATGAAGCAAGAAACGACTAACAGCACTTACGCTTCCAACAGCACTTACGCTTCCAAGACTTTAAGTCTGTGAATGAATATAATTTTGAAATTTGTCGAATCTGATCACCTCTCAAGTTTTGCAATGAAACTTTGACTGAAGAGGATCTCCTGGAGAAAACCTATTCGACCTTCTCTGCTTCTAATATTGTCCTGCAGCAACAATATAGAGCTCAAAAGTTCACCAAGTTCTCGAATTTGATCTCTGTTTTACTTCTTGCTGAAAAGCAGAACCAGCTGTTGATGAAGAATCATCAAGCTCAACCTACTAAGGCGACTGATGTGCCTGAAGCGCATTATAGCACTAATCAACGCCCAAAACGCCAAAAGAGGCGTGGTAGGGGAGGCCAGAAGCCATCCCACCAAGGTCAACATAGTCAAGGCCCATCCAAGGGAGGAAACAAAGCCCCGAAGTGCTCAAACCTCACTCCCAAGGCCCCGAACTTCAAGAATAAGGACAAAGCACCTGAAACCATGGATGCAGATATGTGCTATCGCTGTGGTTCCAATGATCATTGGTCCCGTGTTTGCCTAGCTCCCAAGAAGGTTGTAGATGAATATCATTCTCGTTGTAAGAAGTTTGAATCAAATTTCGTGCAAGTGGACGATTCAGAGACTACAAAGATGGAGGTTTCTGACTCTCCAGATGATACTTATTTTTTAACTGAAATAAGACAATTGGGGCCGAATTCCACTAAGTGGCCGAACCCCTCCTTTGTTTTTGGTTGATTTTTTGAACAATTTTCCCTTATGTTTGGATTATTTATTGGTGATTTGTTTTTTTGGATATTAAGTTTTAATTAATTACCATCCTTGAATAAATGAAATTATTTAAATTTTATTTTTTAAGTTATTAACTTTTTAACACACATATCCCACCATTTACGTAGTTACACGTGGTGTACTACTTCGTGTTCCTGTCACACTAAAAATCTTTCTTTAACTTGTCACTGGACTGTGCTGAGTGAAATTACCAACCACTCAAAACTTGCCACATGGTGAGTTTTGAGTATAAATTTTGTAACACATAATTGTATAAAATTGTATGGTATAAAATTGTGTGATATAAAATTATACTTAATAATTAGCACATGACAAGTTTTGAATGGTTAGTACTGCCACTCAGCAAAGTTTAATGGCAAGTTAAACCTCAAACAAGTTTTTCTCGATTCGAAGGCATGGCGGTGGAGGGCGGGATACTCCCAGTTCGATTGGAAACCTATTTCTTGCAGGGCGAGGAAATAAGGACGCGTACTAGGCCACATTCAAGTTTAGGGTAGCAAGTGAATGAAAAGAAAAGAAATTTTTTTTTCTTTCTGTTTTTTGACCTTTTTATGAGAAAACAACACTTAAAAGAAAGTGAGAGTACTAGACCTGTTGAACTGGAAGCTTTCTCAACTGATAGAATCATACAGATCTTGAAAAATTTATCAGTATAAACATCTATATAAGAATTGCATCAGTTGCATATGAAAATTGGGAAATCATTTAAAGAGCAAGAGAAAGTGCCATTCTAACTTTAGGAATCTTATCAAGTTCCTTGACGTTGAACTCGCCCGGGAAAGACAAGCACGACTTGGGTCTAATACTATACTGCAGGACAGTCTTAACATCTCCGCGAACATCGAGTCTAGCTTTGACCACTGTTTGATGAGCAACCGCCCACGATCCTCCAACTGTCAAGGTGCTTCTCTTTTTTGAGTGGTTCTTAGTGAACTCTACCGCTGCTGCACTCTTCTTTTCTTGATCAAGTTAATAAAGGTACGATGCTGTTAGCAAGTCACCCTTGTTTGCCCTAAAAATATCACAAAGATAGCATAACAGTAACTCAAATCTGCATTTGGCCTCTACAAAATTTGTTGTTAAATTTGTTGATAAGTTTAGTTTAAATCAGACGCTTTATCCGCCTTCATAGTTATAGGGTTTGTAGATTGAAATGAAACGACTTACAGAATTATTGAAGCATCAGAATTGAGACTCTTCATGCTAATGCCTGCACTACATTTGGAGAAAGTGCTGGAAGCAGTTTTGTATTCTGCCTCCACACCGACGGCAATGCTTGCACTATCGACAGTTGCTGAAACGTTGGTTGCAGGGGACTAGCACAGAGAAACAGACAGAGCTGCGGCACCATATTCTTGGCGTGTTTGAAACCCGAGCTGTGAAATCAAGACAAGTGAGTTGTTTTATAATTTGAATTAAATGTGATTATCATGCAGCTTCAAAAGGGTGAGCAATTTCGGCAACAGAAATTTCTTTTATTTTGTTGTTATTTTTTGTGTCGCAGATTTCATAACAAGAACACCAATTCAAGGAGTTTCCAAACAAAAAAATTGCTCAAACAATGAGAACAGTACCTTGCCCGATTTGTACTCCAGCAAGCTGAATGAAGCTGCGGTCTTTGTGGTTGACAGAAACTTCATACTTAATGTTCCAGTAACCTGTCATAACAAGGGGGAAATAAAGAAAACCTTGATCCGAACGAAAAACAGCAGAGCTCAAACTTATTAGGCAACAGTAAAACTATATTGAACCAAACCCACTTTTGAATCCATATCTATTCGGCAGTTGAAGGTGGCATTCTTGTATTTGTGTCTGATCCTGCAACAGCTGCACTCAATTGTGCTCCATTCTTCGTGGAGGTTGAACATGTAAGGTTCTGAAAACAAACCAAAAAAAGGATCAACTTTCTGTCTAACGTTTTAGAGGGTGTGCCAAGATACGAACATACTGTAAGTTGTGAGTGTCAAAGAACATGTGCTTACTGTTTCTTGACATACAGTAACTTGGTCAATCCGAGTAGAAAATTATGGAGCCTTATTTGGTTAGGTTAGGAGTCCTTATTTAGTGCAATTAATTATGAAAACCTTATTTAGTTGACAAAGAATTTGTTACCATTTAGGACTATAATGAAATCCTAATTGATTTGGAATATCCCTTTAATTAGTTAATAGGCCGGATTAAAGGGATGAGTGTCTATATATTAGGAGGTCCCTGGACTCACAGCATTATCTTATTCTAGTGCAAAACCCTATTTCTGTGCACAAGGACTCTCGGCTGCTAGAGTGTAGACGTTCCTCCTTGAAACCCTAGCAGTCATGGCTTCTTCTTCCTCCGCTTTGGAAGATAAGTTTATTTCCCTTTAATTGTTTGATTGATTTATTGTAGTTATATTTGTTATATCTGTGATTCTAGTAATCTTACATGTGGTATCAGAGCCTCTCAACTTGTCTAGGATTCAGAATTTCGATCATGGTTGGTTTTGAATATAATGGTAACGATCAAATATCATGCCATAACTTTTTATCCTTTACAATGTGTAATGCTTCCGCGAATAATATGATTCATTGATTTAATTGCTGATAATTCAATATGTGGAGCGATTATCATATTGGCTTTGCAAATAATTATTTAGATGTTATTATTATTAGTTTTTATTTAATCTGACCCATCTGCAGAAACTGCTTCTGCGTGTAGTTGTATTATTTTTGTCTACAGATACGAAACTGCTAGGGAATTTGCAAAGCTTGGGGGTTCAGTTTAAAGGTAATCTGTTTGAACAAATTTTTGACAAACTGAAGGCACAATTAGTTTGTGTTTAGTTAAAGGTCTTTTACTTATCGATCCTGAGGCTTCCGCTTATTTTTAGAGTATTTTTATAATCACTTTTCTGACTTCATGATTCTCATGTAATTATAAAAAATGGTTTTGTTTTGCTGTCATGGGAAAACATAAAGATAAGTTTTCTTAGCCATGTCGTGATAATGATTAATTAAGAAGCAAATCTGATTGCTTTATATATGGCTATACCTCTAATATATATATCTAATTAATAATAATTTTGCATTGGATTTAAAGTTCGAAGGCTTGACACATATGCATCTAACTAATTTGATTTAACTATTATTATTTTTTTAACATGATTAATATCAAGATTGGCTTTGATCCGCTTGGATGGCATTTGTGTTGCTCCTGGGCAATGGTTAGGGTTCCTTGTTTTGGAATCCCATTTTAAATTAATAATTATTTTGCACGCTTCTCTCTTCTAGTGCACCATGTCAATGATCAGGTTTAAAATTTCGGTTGTTTTCGAAGGTTTTTCAATGTGAATCACTTGCTGTCAGGAGATCATTTGGGTTAGCCATTGTGATCTTATATCATGTTCACATTTTATGTTTTCTGGGCCTTCAATTCCTAATGCCTAGAATGAGGCTTTGAGGATTTTCCTCAATTGCATTTAATTTCGTTTATTCCAGTCCGCTACATATTTTTGAGTAATGGTTTACAAGAATAATGGTATGGCCACTTTGGTGTATTAGTTGATTAGTTGAACTAATTTGAATATAAAGTCCATCTGCTTTTGGAAACTAACTTTCCCATACATATTAATTAAGTTGATTACGCTTCCATCTATTGTTATGCCTGAAAGAATCCCTCTTCAGTAATAAGAATTTGGTAACTTTTGATTTCCCTTATGCTTCTATCACTGATAGTTGGGACCAATTAATGTTGAGACTTTCTTTGCTACGTTTGTCCTTTGTGACTTTCATCTTCAAATAAAATTGCAAAGTTGAGACTCAAATGCTTTTGGGAAATTTCTCAAATACACACACTGTTGGAACAAATATGTTTTTATTTAAATATTTAAATATATTTATGTTTTGTTTTACTACCAATATTATATACACAACATTTTGCTTTATTACCAATATTAAAAGTCAAATTGATTTTGGCTTAAGGAGTTATGCAATCAAACCGTTTTGTTTTTATTTCCGGTTTGAATTTACTTATGTTTTGATTTTGTCCCGTTGTGGCTTTTATGATTTGTCCGTTTTGATTTGCAACGGTTTTGCAATCCCAATTACCCCCTCAACGTCTCTTTATATACATAATATATATATACACACACACTAGTGATGCGTAGGTTCAGTAGCTAACAGAGAAAGAAAAAATAGTTTTACATATTAATTTAAAAAGCAACATATCGAAAAGGTTTAGTTCGAAGGTTCTTCCGGTGTGCAAGGAAGAATCTTATCAGAAGAAGGTTCTGGGCTGTTTTATCCTGGGGACGACGTGGTGTTTGTGAACTGCTTGCACACTTTGGGCAGAGCCGCGAAAAGTCTTAAAGAGAGCGACTTAGTCCGCGACTCATCTCAAGAATCATTCACCACTCAAGGCTTTTACATTTTTTCGGGTAACTTCGTTCCATTATATTTCAGTTTTCAACACACACTAATGACTGGGCGTTTTGGTTTCCCTTTTGAATTATGTTCTTATCTTAAAGGGAGATTTTGATACATTATGGACATGCTAAAGGTTATTTTAAAACTACTCATGGTCAATTGTGAATTATTATGTAATTTTATCATGCTATGTTAGTATATGATTTTTATAATTAAAAGTTCTCACGTCATTTTGGCATGACATGAAATCATTGTAAAATTTAAAAAGGAGATTATGCTACTAAAATTTTCAAATTTCTGCAACATTGTCTGTTTGTGATATTATTTTGGTATACCCATTCAATTCCTAAATTCATGAAATTTTAGTATGATATAGATCGATATATCTAGTTTAAATCTGGAAATTGCACGACAATTGGCTGCAAAATGAATTATTGGTGAATTTTGTTTTAGTCTCGGGTATGTAGTTTGGAATTTCTACAGCTTCTGCAGCACATTCCATTTCGACTTTATTTTTAGCCCATTTATAAAATCTCAAAAATTATGAAATTTTGTGATATTTCAGCTTTATGTATCTACTTCTGGAAATTTTCATATACATCGTATGGAAAATGAATGTTTAGTCAATTTTTCATCTCAGTTGTACTGCAGATTTTCTGCACTTTCTGCAGCATATCCCATTCGAATTTGCCTCTCGTATACTTGTCAAACTTAAAAAAAAAAAAATTATAAACCTTTAGGAAATAGTAGCATTGTATGTCTACTTTATGTCTGGAAATTTTTATGCACATTGAATGAAAAAGGAGTATTTAGTGAATTTTTTAATCTTAGGTCTGCATGCAGATTTTTTTTTTTTGCAGTTTCTGCAGCACATCTACTTTCGAATTCTTTTTTTTTTTGGCTCGCTTATAAAATTTTAACAATCATGAAATTTTGCGAAATAGTAGCCATATATGTCTAGTGCATACCTAAAAATTTTCATGACAATCTAAAGAGAAGTGATTTTTTTAGTGAATTTGCAAACTAAAGTAGTACTGCTGAATTTTGGTACTTCAAAACTAGTTTTGTTATGTGATATTGTTTTCACTTATTTGTGCACATCTATTGGTACCGATTATTATACAAGTTTATGATTCCAATATGTCTTTATTTAATGCGAATTCTTAATACTAATGACTTTTATTAGACAACACTGATTAAATTATTGATTTAAAGATGTATTTGTTTGTTTTGCTTAAACCAATGTTTTGTTTGGTCATCAATTCTGATTATGATGATAATTGTCTTTTGAAAGAAAATTGGAAAATGGCATCAGTTTACTAATTGATCATTTTGGTCCCTATCGAATAACTGAATAACCATGTTTCCTCTTTCGAGAACTCTATTGTTCAATGTCAAAAACGACATATTTTGTGTCTGATTGAATCTTTTGAGAATCATTGAATATCCAACAAAACGGTTATTTAATATTGTTCTAAAGGATTATTTTGAAAAATCAGAATTCTAATTTATATGGTGAATACTTTTGTCCCAATGGGAATTTTAGGAAATAACTCACCAATTATAAATTAGTATTATAGCAATCATAAAGTACTTCTAACATATTTTCATCTGGCCAAAGCTGTTGAAGCTATATGTATTTTGTGTATTTTATGTTTTGGCTAGCTATGCAGGTATTTTCTTTGCATGATTAGTTTCTGCCCAAAGGTGTAACAATCATGCAATTTGGAGTTAGTTCGATCCTCCACAACTCGACTACATCCATGATGAATCTTGCAGAATCGAGAATGAGTAGGTAAATTTGCTAATCTTTTGCCTTAATTTTCTGTGAGTTCTAAATTGGATTAAAATTATTGTTGAAAATTTGATGTTGTTGAGATATCTATGTGTTTACCTTAATTCTACTTTGTTTTAGAATTAAAACATAAATGAGTCTTCTCTCATACACTAAAATAAATTTCGTAGCCATTTGTTTATCTAATCACTTGTCACTTTTAGATCGATTAATAATGTTGAGATATTGTTCCTTATATAAGCCTAATTTTCGATACATATAGATTGATTTATTATGTCCAAACCAACAATTTTGTGACTCAACAAATTTGTTTAAGGAATTTTAATGTTTTGGGCATATTAAAGGTTATTTATCTAATGAAATGAACCTTTAATTTATTTAAGAAATTTTCATGTTTTGATCATATTAAAGATTGTAAATTGGTTTTATTTAAATTATGATTAAATCTGAAATTTTGGTAGAGCTTACACTATCTTAATTGATTCAACTAGCCTATATTTTGTTATATGAAAATCACTGTCTCTAGTGTTTAATCTTGCAATTTTGAGTGTTTGTCCAAGTGGGAGAAATAATGTATTATGGGCTTCACACTCATCAATTTTGCATGCTTTTAATGGTCATAGTTTTGGTAGATAAAACATAAATTATCATACTTGTTTATATTTTATATATGCAACTAATCTTGTAGGAAATTCAAGAAGGGTTAATGAGTATATTCTGCTCAAAAGTGTTTTTCTTATTAATTCTTGTTTGTTGTTCAAGAAATTGGACTTGTGATTTATATGTTATTGATGGATAATTAATCTGCTCAAAAGTGTTTTCTTATTCAGTCCAACTATAAATCAATGAACGGTTAAACATGGAATTGACAAGATTGTATATACTTCTTCTGCTCAAAAGTGTTGAAACTATATACGTTTGCCCTTGTGTTTTATGTTTTAGATGTGAAAACCTAATATAATCAGATTCTGTCCAAAGATGATTATGGAATTATATGTTTTTGTTGCAATCAGAAAACGTTCCGTTAAAGTTTTCTATTTCTATCAAATGTTAGATGAATAAAACGGACCAAATGATTTTGTATAATTTTTCAGTCACAAGAGTCACTTCCCTACAAATATCTGGAATAAAGATGTTGAGCTCACAAATTTTATGTTTTAGATCCCATGACTAATGTCTTGCTAATGGGAGTATTTGAAATATATCTGTTTCATTTTGTAGACATTTACAAAGTTTTTTTTTTAATCTCTTAATCAGTGGGAGTAATAATAATTTATATAATTTTGTCTCTTTTAATCAGTAGGAGTAAGAGATTACCTTTTGTGTTTAAAATTTGAAGTGTTAGTAGCTGATATTTTAAGAGTTTTTGTTTAAGTTTTGTTCATAAGTTTAATAAGAGGTCCTAATTTTGTAAATAGTATGTTGTATTTTACTTGTCCTCTTATCATATTATAAATTGACAGAAAATATGAGACATGCTTGCATGAGGCTCAGTTCAGGAGTTGATCTTTTGCTTATCATCCTGAATTTAACAAATGATGTCAGGCAACATTGTGCTCGTAATTTGATATTTGTGGTAATAGAGTAAACATGTAGAAGCAATTACATGTTATTTTCTATGATCCAATATTTAAACTACTAGTGACAAGTTGTTAAAGGTATAATTGCAAATTTTGGTGGGACTCAGTGATCACCTACCACTTAGCCAAATAAGGATCATGTTCTTAAACACTCAAGTGGGAGAATGTAAGTTGTGAGTGTCAAAGAACATGTGCTCACTGTTTCTTGACATACAGTAACTTGGTCAATCCGAGTTAATAGTTGAGAAAATTATGGAGCCTTATTTGGTTAGGTTAGGAGTCTTTATTTAGTGCAATTAATTATGAAAACCTTATTTAGTTGACAAAGAATTTGTTACCATTTAGGACTATAATGAAATCCTAATTGATTTGGAATATCCCTTTAATTAGTTAATAGGCCGGATTAAAGGGATGAGTATCTATATATTAGGAGGTCCCTGCACTCACAGCATTATCCTATTCTAGTGCAAAACCCTATTTCTGTGCACAAGGACTCTCGGCTGCTAGAGTGTAGAAGTTCCTCCTTGAAACCCTAGCAGTCATGGCTTCTTCTTCCTCCACTTTGGAAGATAAGTTTATTTCCCCTTAATTGTTTGATTGGTTTATTGTAGTTATATTTGTTATATATGTGATCCTAGTAACTTGTTGATTTTCAGATTATATTTTACACATATCGCTTCACCACCACTGCGGGATGAGAAACTGAACTTCTGGCCCTTGGAATATCCCGTTGTAAGCAAGTCTACCGGAACCCAAAAGTGAGAAGTTTTAGGAGAATACTGGAACAGGATTTTTGCGATGCAAGAAACGAAAAACACAGAAATCTGGAGAACAATTAAAGAGAAAACCTTTAGCTTTGCGGCCAAACTCATAGAAAAGTGGAGGCCCCTTGCTGCTGGTTGTGCTTTTGCTCTTGCTCTTGCTTTTATGCTTAGGCTTGGAGGAGGACTTGCTCATTGTTCTTGACGGAGACACCAATCGATCTTACAGAAAGACGACCACATCAAAATATAAAGATTTTGTCTTTTGATCGACTAGAGAGTAGAGACACTTGTATCATTGTTTATTTTAGAGTTGACTGTAAAACAGAAAGCTTCACACCATTTTCTTTCCTGTTGTTTTTACTTTCTACCACAATTACAAATTGTTTTGGTAATTTTTGTCAGCATCAGATCATTTTTTACTGTTAACATATGTACAAGTTGTCTCTCCTTTACAAATTAAACACATCATCTAAAATCCCACATTGGGAAGTCAGTGAAATATAGAATAGTTTATAAGGTCTTGGGATTTGTAATTGCCAAGCCTAATCTCCTGATTTGAGGAAGATTACTTTCCCTATAAAACTCTCAAGATCCTTATAAATACACTAGTTTGGGTATCAAGTGGACATCTCTCTCTCTTATTTCTCTCTATGCCTAATATTCTCTACAATACATATACTTTCTATGCCGAACAGAGGCCCTCACACCGCCGACTATGCGTAGATATGCGTAGACATGTCCATGGAAAACCCATCTCTGCTTCCACTACCACAACCTCAGCAGTCATGATGACAACATTCCCGCAATTCAACTTGAGGGTTACTAGTCAAGGTATATTAATAGAATTTTTACCATCTGCAAAAGTAAGGATAAAAATACTTAAATACTTGCAAAAATACAAGGTAATCGTAGTATAGTCAACTCTAGTAAGGTTGTTATCCACATGGATTGAATGAATAATTTATTTCAAACTAAATCTTAATTGATTATTTAAAAACAAAGTTTAAAAAAGGTTGATCTTATGACCTAAAATATTAAAAACAAATTTAATTAAAAACAATTAAATAAATTGGCAAAGTAAAGAAAACAAAATAAAATAGTTTTGAAAATCTATTTAAGCGTCATCTCATTAACAATCTTACGTAGTTCTTACAATTACTTATGAATTATACATGCATATTTTGAAGGTTAGGTTTTCTTAAAGTATGCTCTATTTGGAACCTCCAACATAGAACGTATATCTACATGCAACTCATCAATGGTGTCCAGATATGATGTCAACATGCAAGACTCATTAAGTTTTGTGAAAACCTTTTGAAAACCCATATAACCTTTACGACGTGTCGTCTATCCTAAGAAGTTACACATATTAATCATAAGAAGGCTTAGTCAATTTCTTACACATATTAACCATAAGAAGGCTTAGTCAATTTCAAGAACAGCCCTCCGCCAAAATTGCTTCAAATTACTTTTCTAAATATCCTAATGGTGGCCAATCATCAAGACAATTAGATAGTTTCAAATAACAGTGATTAATAATTCAAAACCTGCATGCATAATATCATAAGCAAATTGAAAAGAAACTACATATTCTTACTAAGGGCTTGTGGCCTCGCCTGAGCAAAAGAAATTAGTTACGAACAATCATAAAATAAAATATTATAAATAACATGGATAGAAAACAATTTGAAAATAAACTTGAATTGTCAAAAGCTCTATAAACTGAGTTGTCCAAAGTAGTGATTTTTTTTCCTTCTAACCTAATGGCTTAATAGCCTTATTTATATTACTAGAAAATAAAGCCCTACCTAGAAAACGTCTTAGAAAAACTAGGAAACATAATATAATAAGATAACTAGGAAATACATTCATATTCTAACTTTGGGAAATCTGCTCATCCACAAAGAATCCCACATTTTTGGATCTTCAGGGCTTCAAAACAGGCCCAAAACAATTAGATTATAGCTTGAGATGTCCCGAACATAATTGCAGAAGACCTTGAACCCAAAAGACATCATCTTGGACGCCAAAAAGCCCATAAAGTCCAAAAAAAGTGATTTCTGCAAGAAACACCAGTTATGTGATTCTTCCAGGAAGCACTTTAAGCTTTCTAGAATTTACTTGCATTTTTACTAAGGATTGGTTCCAAAAGCGGTTTTAGTCATTTTAAAAGCACATCCAAACAAGCACATAAAAATCTGAAACTTCAAACAAGACGAGAGACTCATGAACATCCTTCAATTGGAATCACTCTAAAATTCGCCCGTTTAATCACATTTTTTCTCAGAGGAAATCGAAAATCCTATATTGAAAATACAATTCAAAGTATCAAAATTCTCACAAAATAACCAATAAATTAAAGGAAAACTAACGAAAAGTCCAAAAAAATTTTGATCTTATAATGAAAAATGGCAAATAAAGGTGTAGTGAATAGTACCAGGGAATGGAAAAAATGTGGTTTTTCGTTAAAAGTGAACAGTATTGGGACTGTTTCGTTAAAACTTCCATAAATCAATACTAAGACTATATAGTATAATATGGACTCATTATATATTAATGATTGGGTGAATAGTAAAGCTTACGAATGCCGCTACCCCATTTTTATTTTATAGGGGAAATGGTCACCTATTACATGACTCACTAACTCTGCATAAGCTGGGGTACCTATTATTCATCGGCATTTACGGGGACGCCAAGCTCCCGAAGATGCTGAACAAAGTCTCCCAATGCCCGCCATACGCTAGTCATCAAGAATGATTTACTCCGTTCTTCTTTGGAACTACACCCATGGTTTGGTTCTCCTTCCCGGAGATATGTAGGTAGTCTTATTTGGATTCAACTACACCCCCCAATCAACCCCATTCTTCCTTTATTAGAGATCATGGGCTAGCACGACTGGATTTCACCTCCGTCCGCAAATGTGCGCAAATTGGTTCCAACAATTGGTGTTTTCATTAAGAGTGAATTCATATTCCCCTATCCAAATCACCCGATCGACATGCGAATCTACTTTGGGCAAAAAATGATCAAGCGAAGGAATTTTGGAGTAATTCCAATGGAGTGGATTTGTAGTCTTTTAAGATCGTTGTGTCAAAATTTCAGAATTTCTACAAAGCCAATCTTTCCAATTTTACGTATAAAGATAGCCAAAGCTGCATTCCCGTCAAAACTGCGCAGCGGTGAGAAAACGAAGATTTCAAGGCCTTCCAGATTTTTCCAAGTAACATGCCATGTATGCGTGGAAAGATAAGAAGCGGCGCTACAATGTTGTTATTTTTCTAGATTTTTCCAGAAGAAATAACGGTCTCAAAACTGGCACACAAAGCAGCTGAACAAAAAGCCAACACAAGCAGCGCGTCACGACTGCACTTCCAAATTCTGAGGTCAAACTGTACCTGCTCGGGACAAACTGGATTCTGTGGCATATATCATTGCATAGACACAGCAGTCAGCTTTCTATGAAATTTTGTGAAACTCAATTTCGAGCTACGTAGAAGACTATATTGTTGTGTTGTTGCTGGATATAAGTCAACAATCTGTAATAATTTATATATGCTAATAAATAATAAATGCAATAGAAACTTAACAGAATATAAACTAGAATATGAATTATAAAACAGACAACTTGAAGATCGAGGCTTGCGTACCGCAATGTCCTTGAAACAGAAATTTCATCCCTACTATGTGCTTGTAGTTCTACAGACGTCTGCTTCACTAGGATTCAACGATCAAGTTAAAATTCCAGCACCGGAAAATTTAACTTCTGGCGAATTTAGTGTGGTTCTCTCAGTAAGAAGGTTTAGGAATGTAGAAGATGAAGTTGATTATTTCTGTGTTCTAAATGCTATGCAGATGGATGTATATATAGCAGATGGATGCCTGTTTGCAACAGGTATGAGAATGGGGTTGACTGTTGGGAGACATCTCTTCAGAGGGGTGCTTTGCTCTGTTTAGAAAGAACTCTCAGACTTCATCTGAAAGGATGAGTCTTTTCACAAAAAATAAATAATTAATTAAATTCGAATTTAATTAAAAAATAATTGAGTAAATCCGAAAAATAATTAATTAAATAATTTAATTATTAGAGCCCAAAGGCCCAAGGCCCATCTTTTGACAATTAAATATATATTAATTATATATTAATTATAATTAATTATATATTAATTACCAAATAATTAATACACACCAAAGCCCAACCCCAAGGGTGAGCCCAATTTTAGTCTCCAGGCCTATTACTCCAATCACTTTCTTTAAAGGACAAAGCCTTATAAAGTGATAAAATCTTTTGGGAATGACCAATGTGGGACAAAGATATTTCTACTCAAACTACTCAAGTTTCCAACAATACCCCACATTTGAGTTGAAATTTCATTCAAACTGCAACAATGACCCCACATTTGAATGCAAATGTAAATGCAAATGTTTGACTAGGCTGCATGACTAGGCTGCCTAAAACTGAGAGAGAATAGTCATGATATGCATCAGGTGAAGTGTCTTTTGGACTTGAACTTACCCTAGTGAAAACATATCGGGTTTACTTGGTGACGCAGTGGATGTGGAAGATCTTGAACTGTTCACCGCAGTAGTAAACCAAGACAATATGCTACACACATATCATGGCTGCCACACGTCAATTCATACGGTTGTGTTCATTTTGGCCCTGAACAGATCCCGGATTTCGTAGGAGCTTTAGAGAATTTGGCCATGTCAATTCTCATAAATGTGGCCCCATTTACTCTTATATAGGTGACATTAATTAAGAATAGTCTGCCATATTCCTCTTGATAACAAGATATTAATGTCATTAAATGTATAAAACATAACCCCTCAAACGTCAACAGACAACACACATTTTATCATAAGAATGGGTAAGTTGTGTGTTCAACTTTTGAATCAAACTCAACCAGTTTGCCTATTGAACCTAGACCATGGGATCTCCAATCAGCTAGGTTAGGTTTCCGCCCAGTTCGATTCATTGAATTGGCTTAAGACCCATTCCCCTCGATGTAAATAATATTTGCTCTCTTGGTAGGCCTTTTGTCAAAGGATCAACTATATTTTCCTTTGACTTCACATAATCAATGGATATTATTCCATTGGAGAGCATCTTCTTAAGAGTATTGTGTCGACATCTGATGTGACGTGACTTCCCATTGTATACATGACTTTTGGCCCTTGATTGAGCAGCCATAC